ATGTTTTTGACAGGACAAGACAGCGAGTGAATACATGTCATCCTTCATTTCACGTGCAGCCCTCTCAGCAGTGTTCAGTTTCTTCAGTTATTCAATGCATTGACTCTTCCCCTTTCAATCTCACTTGTCCTTTTCTGTTGTCATGTTCTGGAGGAGAGTTGACAAAGGACAAATATACTGGTGGATTAGATCAGCAGCTCATTGGAATAACTCTTCATATTCAAGGAATATCCTACCTTCTTAATTTAATTATAAGCTTGACAATTTCAATTTGGAAATTTAGCTCCATTGTGACTAGCTTTAGCAAAGTCCTTGTTTGATTTGCCTGTTAAGCCAGCCTGGATGTTTAGGATTTTGAATGTATCTGAATAGGAAGAATGATTTCAATACAGTGCATCCTTCTAAAAATCTGTTCAGAAACAAAAAAATGTGCTAAACAACTCACTATAAAATTAGTTTCTCAGGAGAGGTCCAGGGTGAATCTTAAAAATATATTGGATTAGTTCATAGAGTTTTGCTTATAAGTGTATGTAAGCATTTCTTTCTGTGTAACTACCACCATCAGATCAATGTGGAGATGCAAGGAGCATCTGTTTTGCAAGCAAGACTACAAATATCATAATGTAGTTTTAGAAATTTTCATCTTATGTTACCTCTTGCTCTTAGCCAACACGTATACATATGCCCTTTTGACATTGTCTCTGTCAAACTTATTTGCATGTGGTTAACTGAACACATCGTAACACAGAATTACAAAAGGAACTTTATGGTTACAGGACCAAATTCTGACTTTTCTTGCAAAACAAAGGCAAGAAAATTGTTTATTTTAACATCAGAAAGCTATGTTATTATTCAGAATTGTATTACTATGATATGTTATGAAGATGAAAGAAATGTTATCATTTCCATATTCTAGAATCTATAATGCAATGTCTTTATGATTTTTTTCACTTGCTTATTTGAAGTCAGATTTAATTTTTTAAAAATTTTTTTAATGAAATAGTTTTAGTCTGAAGGTGTTTAGGTGGTTAGGGATCCTGAAGGATGACTGCTTCTGTCTTTATTGTTGATAAGTGCAACTTGGAAATTAATGCAGTGTAAGTATTTCAAACTACTATCTTGCTGAAATGCTTTGACAGTTAAAATATATTCATTGTTTCCTATACCAGTATTTACTAGGATGTAAATATAAGAGAACTCTATTTGCAATTAAGATTTTATTCAATGATCAATTTAGAAGGGAGTCAGATAATGCTATCCTCTCAGAATTATATCTGTGAAAGACATAAAATATGTTCCCCTTATATTAATAAAATCTTTAAAAGAGAAAGTAAGTTTTAGACATTACACTAATATTAGTGCAATGTTTTATCAATTCAATAACAAAATGATCATATATGAGAAATAACATATTAGAGGCATTAAGGATTACATAATGAAAAAAACACTAGTTAAAATATTTTGTCTCCTATTCCAGCAGTACCATACTAGCTGTCTCACTGGACAGCTCACTGGACAAGCCTTCTAGTTGTGTTTCTCTCATCTATAACATGAAGATAACAGTGGCACTTATCACATAAGATTGCCATGAGATTTTTTATGCCATATATTTACAACATCCAATAGGTATTCAATTACAATCATAATCTTCATATGTCTGGATCCGAAGTCCATGCATTTGGTTTCCAAGTATTGCTTTTGTGCAGGTACACTACCCACCAGGGGTCTGAAATTATAGGTCAAGATGAGTATTCCCCAAAATATCATGGACTGCACTTGGAACCAGTTTAGCCAAGTGGCTGTAGGACAAGAAGCATGTCTTTGTAAGCGACATCATCTTTGCTGTCTGCAGGTGTTCCAGCCGAGACAGTTGGCATGGCAGTTCCCATAGGCTTCGGAAGCAGTGCTTTCCCCAAGTGACAGACAAGGTGCGAGGGCATAAAATCCGCACCGTGGAAGCAAGGTTCACTTAGACTGAAAATTCTCATGGGAAGGAGTATGTTTCTGATAAAGATCTTGGAATCAAAATAGGCAGGATTATAGTTCTAATAAAAACAGTTCTGGTGTTTTGACATGATGTAGATAAGAAATGTACAAAATTAAAAGAAGAAGAATCAAGCATGCCTTTTTGAAATTCTCCCCTAAAGTGTTAATAGTTACAGTGGGATTGTGAGAAGGATTTTCTAGCAGGCATTGAAAATTGACCTGGCTGTCAAGGATTTATACCACAAATTCTTAATATTCATTTTGTAAAAGGATTCAGATATGAAATATATATACATGACATGCACCATTTATTATATTCATATAGCAAAAATTTGACACTCCATGAGGAAGAAGAAAATACTTTTTAGTGTTGTTAAATATCTCCTTTCCTGTAGCAGAGGCTGTTGATGTTTCCAAGAGGAATAATGTTTCTATCTGAAAACAATTTTAGAACTGATGTGTTGTGGTTTCACTGAAACCGAATGTAACATAACACAAATGAAAGAATTTATGATGCCAATTTATGATGGTCATAATGAATAAGACTCTAGATAGGCATTATTTTGATTGGGAAAATATTGCACAAAAGCAGCATAAGAGGTCCTGACATAATAGCCTAGTAGCTAAAGTCCTCACCTTGGACGTGTTGGTATCCCATACAGGCACCAGTTCTAATCCTGGCAGCCCTGGTTCCCATCCAGCTCCCTGCTTGTGTACTGGGAAAGCCGTCAAGGACAGTCCAAAGCCTTGGGACCCTGCACCCACATGGGAGACCTGGAAGAGGCTCCTGGCTCCTGGCTTTGGATCAGCTCAGCTCTGGCCTTCGTTGCCACTTGGGGATTGAGTCAGTGCACAGAAGATCTTCCTCTCTGTCTCTCTTCCTCTCTGTATGTCTGATTTTCCAATAAAATAAATAAATCTTAAAAAAAATTTCTGACTGACATGAGCCCCCATGCCCCATCTGCTTTCCATTAAAAACTTCATAAAAACTTCATGATGATGTGATCCCCCGAGGATAAACCATTGTTGTCAAGCTTGAGGGATGGCATTCCTACGGATCCTGGATTACTTCCTTGTTTAGACAAACATCTCCCTTCTTCCTAATGGGACATCAGGCTAACCAAACTCTAGATTTGTAATGAACACTTTTAAATTATTAAAGGGTAGACTTTTTAAATGTGTGGTCTATGTGTAGAGTAATTTAGTAAAGTATATTATTCTACTGAAAGACTAATTTTTAAGTGTGTGCAGATTTAGAAGCTCCAAGTGCCCAAATTTTGTAAAACATTTGACATTCCTAACACATGCCCACATTTTACATTCCTTACTTCAATAAAGTAAAAAGACTTAAATAAAGGTGTCGCCAAATATTATTGATTTTTAAATTATATATCTTTTTGGTATTACCTTTTCAAGGATTTTAGACTTGCAGTATAAAGAAACGAATTTAATTTTCTTCCCAGGAAGCAGGCAACTAGACCACTGCCCCAGGCACAAAACCCAAGCTTACTATTTTGCTTTGCTCATTTATTCTGTATCTGCAATGGGACTCCTTGAACAGCTACAGTAGAGTACTCAGGCCAGGCAGCTGCTGATGGATTGTGCTTAGTACAGAGCTAGTGTGTGAATGTCAAACCTGACAGCACACGTCACTGAGGAGTGACAGCGGGGGTGCGTCTACCGGGCTGAGTTGGCTGTGGATGACAATCTGCCAAACTAAAATAATGCAAGAGGTATTGGTTGTATAAAAATGAATCAACTTAGCTTTGCTCTAAGGAATCTGGCAAAAGTGTGGGAGTATCATCCTATTTTTCTTAGAGATTGTTTTTTGAGAACAAGCCACAAAATAAAACAAAAATAGAATCATGTGCAGAAAAATTTCTTTAAGGGATTTCATTAGTCCATTTTCATCATTAAAAAAATTGTAGCCCTTCATAAGAAACAAAGGAAATAATTTGTAACAAAAATTAACCCTGTGGCAGTCAATATACTAGTTTATGTGTATTATTTTCTTTTTATTAACAGAAGCAAGCAGAGTCAAAATAGTTGAGTGACAGATCCAAGTTGTCAAAAGGCAGATCTGGAGATTAAATTTATCTTTTCCTATAAAGCTGTGGATCTTTCTGTATTAATATGATGTATAATGCAAATAAATATGTGTGTTTTAAAAACATCATTTTAGATGCAATTATTTGGGAACTATTCACAAAAGATCATGGTTGTATATATGTATGCTTACATGTACTTGACATTTATCTTAAAGCACACATTATCCTTGTGATATTACTTACTAATAACATTGTAGAGAATCCTGTTTTACACAAATGACTTTATGTGATTTTTTTTAATAGGGAGATCTTGGGACTGGCAGTGGCTTAACAGGCTAACCCTTACCCCGGAAAGCTAGCATCCCCTAGGTGCGCCAGTTCATGAACCTGCTGCTCCACTTCCTGTCCATCTTCCTGCTTATGACCTGGGAAAGCAGTAGAGGATGACCCAAGTGCTTTGAAACTCTATACCCCATGGGAGACCTGGAAGAAGCTCCTGGGCTGCTGGCTTTAGATTTGCTTAGCTCCAGCTGTTGCAGCCATTTGAACAGTGAGCCAGTAGATAGAAGATCTTTTTTTCTGTCTCTTATCTGTATAATATCCTTTTCAAATAAGAATAAATCTTTTTTTAAAGAAAAGAAATCCAGAGGTCTAGACAGAGAAAGCAGGGCCTATTGCTTTTTATAATCTATGAATGAGACTACTAAGGAATGTATATGATTTCATTGAAAACTAAGAGGAAGAAATTCATCCCTCCAGGATACCCTCTTGGGAGAAAGAATGTTTTGTCCTTTCATAAACGCAATAAAAATAGTTTGCAGGTTTATATACATAGTAATATGAGTATAAAATGACAACTAACATTCATTTCTGGGGTAAAGAGTATTTTCTTTTTTATAACGTTAGATCCTTTTGAATTCATGATTGCATTCTTGAGTAATAATTATTTTATTCCTTTTCCTGCAGTTGGACAGTGTCACCTCCCTGATCCAAGCAGCAAAAAATTTAATGAATGCTGTGGTGCAAACAGTGAAAATGTCCTACATTGCGTCGACCAAGATCATCCGAATTCAGAGTCCGTTGGGTCCCAGACACCCAGTTGTGATGTGGAGAATGAAGGCTCCAGCCAAAAAACCACTGATCAAGAAAGAGAGGCCAGAGGAAGCCTATGCAGCTGTCAGACGAGGCTCAGCTAAGAAAAAGATCCACCCAGTCAAAGTCATGAGTGAATTTAGAGGAAGACAGATCTACTGAAATCACCATTCTTCTTTAATGCCTATATTACAAAATCCTGGCTAATTCTCTTTGTTTTATGTTATACTTGATCAGCGCTGTAATTTCACTAACCTTTGGAGTTTACTCACAGATATCATAATCTCTTATTACGTGAATCAGTGTCAGAAACCTGCGTTTGGGATTTATGTCATTGTCATCCATATGTGCCCAGCACTTCTTAGTTAATCAGTGTATATTTGTGTGAATGAACCCTTCAGGTGCCATTCAGCCATTCCCATCACAAGTACTGCCTTTGATCTTTTACTAGATTATCAGAGAACACAAAAAATAAGTCTAACTTTAATAGCTAAGTACATTCTTTTCATTTGGTTCTAAAGCATTTTCGTTTGGTGGTAAAGCACATTGATTTGCTTTTCAGTGGAAACACAGACTTTATAAAGCTTCCCAGTTATGCTCTGTACATCATTTACCTGACCTAACCTTGTGCCTGGTATGGGTGAAATCCTGGATCCCTGTCTTAGAAAACTTCCAGTCTGTAGGCATCTGCATTCATTGCCAGCTGATTAAATGAACCAGTTTTGAGCAGTTAAGCTGCTTGCTACGTTTGGAAGATTGGCCTGTGCTACTGATGGAATTCTCTGTGGCTAGTACAAAATTTACTGGTACTTTGGATTTCACATGTGTGCCTTTTAGGGCTCTATTGCATTGAGCAGTTCTGCACTTTTGACTTTTGTGTCCCTCGTAAGACAACTGTAGAAGAAAAACGTTGTCACTACATCTCAGAGTGAGTATGGAAGTGTTAGCAGTTCTGCACAATTTCTAAAACTCAGTCATCTTGGCTTGCAATTGTAATTAAATGGACACATTTTTTAAAAAAAGCCCTTTGGCACTGAGTAAAATATAATGCTGCGAATTGTACCAATGAACTAGGAAGTAGAATTAGCGGCAATACGCAGTAGTGACTTAACAAGCACTCTTTGGTCATTTTGTAACTTCAGTCTTTGCTCATCCCTTGTTGAGTTCAAAATGAGCTGCCCAAAGTTCTTAGTCTACTACACTGCCGTCTGTTTTCCCTTTTCTCACAGTCTGTCTTTTTAACTGGACCTTTGTAAGCTCTTTGGGTGCGTTAAATTTCAATTTCACTTCTCACTCAGCGGGTCTCTTTTCAAGGGATTCTTTAGAATTCATTCTGATTTCTATTTTGTTATATTTCTATAGCCATAATGTCTTATTTTCACATCAGTGTTGCTGATGAGTTGTTTCAAAAGCCATGTCACTCTTGATGGGTCCGGTATAACAACTATGTGCGAAACAGTTCATGTTACAAGGAGCAGTTTAGGTGAAATAGTGCATAAAGCATGAGAAACTATTAAGTTTAGAATCATGAATAGGACATTTTGTGGCAAATGGCAGGGGCAAAGATGGATCTCGTTGATAGGTTATTATTACTGCTGAGCGTAATGTTCACTTTTAATTGTAGTGAATTATTTTGACTTATACCTGGATTCACTGTTATAAAGCTCACAAGACTTGAAAATTGTAAATTCCTTTCCATCTTGCACTGTAGAGTAGCCCACACCAACTACCTAGAAAAGAGATCACTCCCTAAAATTCACGAAGTAGTAGAAAATGAGCAAACACAGATGATAGTGTTTGCCAAGCTATCTCTGAAGTGCGACAAGTTTGTTTTGTTGAAATGCTACCGTGTATTCCTGCTCTAAATGTAAGGCATCTGTAATCCATCCTTCTGGCTAGAAAATGTGGAAATGTGTAATTTAGCTAAGAAAAGCTTGTTTTTAGGTCAACAAGCCACATTTTGAACTTCTAAACCTACATACACAAAGATCTCAAAAACTCAAAATCTCAAAAACTCTCTCGAAAACTCTAATGTCAAAATGGCCTTCTATTATATTTCCATGTTTGAATTTAGAATGTAGTATTATAATCCCAGGTGCCAAAATAGCAGGCATGCATTGAAATTTTACAGCTACCAAGTAACCTTCCCTTTCTACAAAAAAAAAAAAAAAAAAAAAAAAATCTTTATTTACCCAAAGTGAGATGTGAATAAAAACTCTTCTTTATGGGGAGACTTTCAGCTTCGCTCAAAGCAAACAACCATAATTAAACAAAACAATAAAACATTGGGTGAATGTCCCAGGAGTAACTCTGCTGAAGTTATTGAAGGTACAATAAAAGCAAGATGCCTACAGCTGAGAAACACATCTGTTCAGCTAACTGAACTCCTGCGGTAGGTAGCAATTCAAGATTCAGCTCACACCTGCTGATAATACAAATGCTTACACACAAGAAAAACTTAGCTGAAAGGGTAGTAAGCAACTTTCTATCAGAAAGCATAGTCAAATATATCTAAGAAATAAGCACTAGTGCATGTGGATGTATTTATATTTAACCATTCCCACAGGGAAGTGCTAGACATTTCGTAATGGGAGCGATGACTGCTAGGACATTGATTGGGCTCCTTTGAAAACCTTGGAAAAATGTTTTTTCCATTGTTTCTTTTAACAAAATCAATGTATTTTCACTTACCCAAAAACAATCCCTGTGTGGAAGGAGCAGGCACTTCCAAACCTAGCTAGCCACCAATATCACTGCCAAACTTTTGGCTAGAATCCAAATGGTAACATGGAAAATATTTATCTACGAAATTATCCACTAAAGATTGTTCCTCTAAATTAGAAAAAAAATAAAGGTTTTTATCAAACATGAAAGGTGGGAACTATAAATGGCCTCCTTTTATTACAAATGGAGATTATTTGACTAAAATAATTCTAATGGACTTTTTAATTGTTTCTTGAATGAGTCAGAAAAAAACAAATGAATTTCTAAACTAACTTGTTCATTGTTTCTATATTTGTATCAAGGTATCAGGAAATAACCATGTTTGTTTTCACAAGCGTGCCGTCTAACCTTTGAAAGTCTAATTTGTTCTCCCCATAAAATCATTTTGGTACAGGGGACAACGGCTTCTATTCTTGCAGTCTGGCATTCCTGGCACACTTGGGTTCAAAGAAGGGGAAGCTTTAAGTCATAAGATAAAAAAATTGTGTCATTTGGACCATCAGTGCCAGTATTCAGTGCTCCTCAAATTCAGTAGCAAGTGGCTGGAAAGACTAATATGTGATAGTGGGGAATGTGTCTTCAGTAGCTTCCTAAGTGATCACAGTCAGAGTGGTTTTGATTCTCCCACCCATGGATGAAGCATCCTGTTATCCATTCTAGCTACTCCCAGAAAAGGGAGGGCATTGCTACTCAACCCAGCCGATTACCTCAGTCAATGCCCAGTCCTTCCAGTCTGTGCGCCAAACATCTCTCTCCCATCTTTCTTAAGAGTCTCATGTATAGCCACTAAAGTGTTCTGGAAGGTTTTAGTTAAAACAGTGGGTTTTAATTTTCAGAAAGATTATTCCTTTTGTAGTTTTATTCCCCAGAACATTTTTTATTATTTCCTAGTGTCAAATGTATGTTTGCATCACAGGGCTTGTGGTTCCCATGGATACAGATTTCTGTATCTATGGTATGAGTAGAATGATATGTGAGACTTTTCATGATAATATAAACCATTTTCTGGTGAACTAAGTACAGAATATGCAGCCAGTTTCCAAATCCTTGTATGGATTCTCTAGGTACACAAAGTATACATTGCAATTTCAATTTGAGTGAAATCTGTACTATCTTTCTGTTAACCAACTTGTATTTTTACCAGGATAGGAAACCCAGTGCATATTTAGGAAGCAAATATCTATTTTCCTATTTGTGAGTCAGAATTTTTTTTAAATTATTCATTTAGGGCATATAGCTGAAAAGAATATAGCTTCAATTTTCTAATAATTCTTTTTTAGATAAACTAGGAAAGCTTAAGTACTCTTAGTGGTTATTATTCTGTTTTGTATCCTATGCAAGAAACAGTATCTATTGTTTGATGAAAACTTTTTATTATTACTCTGATAAAGCTAGAATATGTTTGGCCTTATAGTATTTTACATATAATCACCAAATAAACAAACTAATGCTAATGACTAAAATGTCTATATCCATAATAGTTTGTAAGTCATCACTTTAGCCCTTGGGCCATATCAGAAAAAAAAAAAACGAAGGCTATTAAAAACTAGGAATACGTAACTGAAGATGTCCTAATAAAAATGATCAGTACTGTCCTGGCCAGAGAATGAGAGAAAAAAATGTTAAACTTATTAATATCAGTTTTTAAGTAATTCACATAAACACTATATTTTCCCCCCAAAATCAAATTAAATAATAGTTTAAATGTTACCGATTCTACAAATGAAAATCTTTCATGGGCGCCTTGAAAGAGAATTTATACTAACTCAGAGAAGTCTCCCAGTGGGAACCAAGCTGATCAAAATTGTGTCTACAGGCACAAGACCCCTGTGTATAACTCAGATAAGCTGCTTGATTCATGGCTGTAGGCTGTATTAAGGTATCCAGTTGTCCTCAGTGGTAAATGAGAACACAACTTATGCATTGTCTTGAGCTTAGCATGTTGGAGGAGGAAAGGAGTAAATAGGAATAAATGCTGAGACGTTGTAAAGAAAGTGCCAGAAGTGGGAGAGGGAATATGGGGAATAGCTGCAGAAGAGGATTACTTTTATAGAAAGAAGAGGGAGAGTGTTTGATTCTATGAAGATTGGTGTCTTTGTCTAGAGCAAGATGTTAAGGATAGGATGGGACATTTGTCCTGGTGATTGGATAAAATCATGTTGGATGAATAAAACACATTTTGAAGAGTTAGTGTTGTTTGCAAATTGAAAAACAGAAATTGGGTTGCTTTCCTGAACGATGATGGGTGAAATTATTCTGACAGTTCAGATCGACTCTGAAATATATGCAAGAATGATTCTCTTGATTGACTGATACTGAGTGTAGGCACATTTCCAGGTTGTTGTCAGGTGTCTTCTTTGTGCTCAGTCCTAACTATTATTTAACCTTCTCAGTAACCTACAGGAGAGCTCTACCCCATAGATAAAGGAAGTTAAGGCTTAAGCAAGTAAATCCATGTTGCTCCAAGTCTCATTAGCTCTAAAATCAAGGTCATCGCCACAGCACACCATCTTCTTCAAAGATGGGATTGAGTTTGTCAGTTGATACTGAAATACGTATTTCAAATGCTGACTGCTGTATAAGAACAAAACTTAAGAAAAATATATACAATTATCCATATTCTGTGTAATTCAAAGCAGGTAATAGGCAGATAATTAGTTTCATATCCTCACTGTTTGACTCTTTAAAGCCAATACTTTAGACATGACCATTGATATAAGGAAATCAGATTTATTCAAGGAAACACAAGGAGATGGTAACCATTCCTGTCACAAAGATCGTTCAAACTTTCAAGTATGTAAAATTTCTGGAGAAGTCAGCAGAACAGAAGGTGAGGAGCGTGCAGGGTTGAGGAAGGAAGGGAGAGTAGGGCCAGCTGTATTTTTCCTTCAGCCAGGTGATGACAGGCACTTTGCAGTCATGAATTCAACTCTTAATCAAAATGACTAGAACCAAGTCATTGTCAAACTTCATGGGGCTTTTTCAAGACCAGTTTCTGGGATTCCCAGGTAAATATTATTTAGCAATAAAGTTAAACACGGACCTGATTGATAGTGAGTTAGCAACTAAAACAACTATTTTTATATTAGAGGATGTTACAAAGTACCCATTCAAATTAGCATGACATCCTCTTTAATAACTGAATATGAAGTATCAGTCATATGAGGGTTACTTGTTCAGTATGCATGATCTGATATAAGAGGATGACCCAGCCAAAGTTCTTGTAATGCTATGGAGGAGAACGTGTCTACTAGCATGGCTTCTCAGTCTGTACTCATGCTGATTGGTAAAAGCCACTTGCTGGTACTATGCCTTTCCTTTGTATCTGCTAATGCATGCCTGGGTATTTAAACTCATTGATTCCAACAGAGTGTAGGCTAAAGATCATTAAAATCAGCTGTGTCTTCCTGTATTGAAAAGTTTCCTATATTTTATAGCAAAGGTGTCTCCTTCTCTATGAAGGCCACAGATATGTTCGATCCGTGCCTTTTTACAGGTAACTTTAGCCCTGTCACTGCACATGATCCTCGTTTCTAAAGTCTAGTTAATTCTTATTGCTTATGTTGTTGGTTAGGCTTCCATATGTCAGGCTTTGGAGAGTGGAAGGACTTCCTAATTTTTCATAATGTAGAACTGAATGTGTTGCCTAAAATTAGGAATTTTTATTTTATTTTACATATGGTGCTGATAATGTATCTGTTATCAACTGTAGCAAAATAAGGCCTTGATTAGAGATTTTCTTTGAAAAGGCTCAAATTTACACCAATCATGTTCTAAAATATTTGCAGTGTAGAACATAGGCAAAAGTCATTCTGTATGTAGCAAAGCATCCTCTTGAAATGAGATATTTTCTAATCCTAAAGATTATTTTCTCTTTTCTTTTTCAAGAAGGGTACTTATTTTTGCTTCTACTTATTTTGTCATGAAGGTCTGTAGCAATTTTTAAACATGTTAATGCCTCATTACAATAATCACATCAATAGTTGCAGTTGTCTCAGACCTGCGTGAGGATGCCTGCATCTCTCGGTAGCATTCCCTGAGAGTGTAACTTAAACTAGTGTGTTTTCTTGACCAGAGTTAAAGCCTGACTTGACCTGGACTGCTTATTAAGGCAGAAGGGCAAGTCTGTGATGCTAGCTCACACTTTCAGAACTTTGGTACTTTCTGGGGCTTTAACTGTAAAATTAATTTTAAGCATACACAAGAGATAGTGATCCATTGCTGAGCAAGTATTTGCCATTTTAACTGTTTTAATATGTGTTAGTAAACAGTGTGGCCACAGGGGTATGCATAAGATGATTTCAGCAACTGTCTTGCAGGATTCAGTGTGCTTTTTGTTGGTTCTGAAAATGTTTCTTGTATACTAAAGTCATCCTCCAAAGAAAATGTTCTTAGGTTGAAATGACAGCAAAATGCTATCTCCTCCAC